TTCAATTGGCACTGACATGGGTCTAAAGAAAGATTGGGACGCTCCTTGGCCGCATCAAGTTTCAGACAAGATATTATTATCCCATCAAAAAACGAGTAATTGCTGACCCACCGGTCGGCATTCTCCCACACTTGACCCCTTTAGCCCTCTGTGGGCTCTTAGAGTCCGAGAAACTGACCTGTTTGTATATGGATGTACGGGAACTTCTTAATAAACTGACCAAACTGTAAGATCGCCAAGCTTCCGGGTCACATGATGTCATTGGTATCACCGAGAAGTGATTTCACGCAGGAATGACGGACGCTGTAGTTTCGCTACCGAACATGACGTTGATCCGGAACGATAGGCTCACAAAAGGAGGAGGGGTAATTCTGTATTACCGAAGCGACTTAGAGTGCGAGGCCGTAGAGGATTCAGACTCACAGTCCTCTGACTCTCTTTGGTGCCGCTTGCTGTTTAAAGACAGAGACGCTTACCTAAGTATCCTGGTGTAACCCGCCCCTAACTCTACACCCGAAACCGACTGCCACCTAGCGGTTGCTTTAAGATGCAGTTTACAGACAAAGTACACTCACATACTTATCATGGGTGATTTTAACGTACATTTTGGAGAAACTCCTGCCACGTGCGGAGAACAATTCAAAGCTGATCTTCATGATCTCGTAAACAGTGTGCCTCTTTACAATCACATCATTTTACTCACTCCGTTCAGAAAAGGTAACAGACCATATGTGCTGGATCTTGTGCTTACCAACGAGGAGCATATGGTTGATCTGCTGGTTTTGGATTGCCCATTGGGTCGCTGTGATCACGCGGTTATCAGTTTCAGCTTCATCTGCTATGCGGAATATCGGAATGAGAACGGTGAGATGGTGCGAACCATCACAATCTACGATCGATTAGCCCAGCTCGTCAGCGCTGCAACCCGGTTGTTCCTTCCCGAAGAACCCCCAGAAGTCACCGGGGTTGAGCTCATCAACAAATTCAGTCAACTGATTGCATAGGCTTCAGAAATAAGATTTTGCAATAAGTGCACATCAGTTTCTTTCGTTAGGAGGAGAACTCGAAAATGCATGACAGTACGCAACGCAGCATGGCGAGTGTACAGAGAAGCTCCAGCACCAGAAAATTGGAACAACTACGTAGCCCGACGAAACCACTGCATTCAACTGTTAAGAGAAGACAAAGCCGCCTATCAACAGAACATCGCAAAAACCTTCGGTGCTAACTACAAACTGCTGTACAAGCACGTCAGTGCCTACGGAAGGTGAGGAAAAGATTTCCTCCCCTCAGAACGCCGATGACAAACAAGAACGGCTGTGGAAGCAGCAAACGCGCTGCGGATGCAATATGCTACACGTTTTTAGAGAGTCTTGCCACTAAGAGACCTTCTAAACTTTGTCGTCTCCTCGCCAGGACTAACCCACATTACTTTTACTGCGGAGGCTCTATTGCAAAAGCTGACGTCTCCACACAAACACAGCTCACCGGATGTCGGCACCATTCATTTAACGGCACTGGAAGCAGCAGCAAGCCAACTGGCGGGAACTTTAGCTCGTATTTTCCAGCGCTGTTTAAACCAGAGTCAAGTTCCCTCTAAGTGGAAGGTGGGAATAATAACCCCATACGCAAAAGTGGAAGCAGCACTGATCCGCCCAACTACCACGCAATATGCCATCTTCCTATACTCTCCAAGGTCATGCGATCCATGGTTGCCGATTCACTGGTGTGCTATCTGGAAAAGCGTAACATCATCACGCCTGAGCAGCACGGTTTCCATCGAGAACGATCATGCACATCGAATGTACTAATCGCACGCAGTAGTAGGATCGAGTCAGCTGAAGCTGGAGAAGGTGTTGATGTGATCTACCTGGATTTTTCCAAGGCTTTCGATTGCCTAGGCCATCGGATACTACTCTCCAACTTCCGGCATTACGGGATCGGCGAACCTCTTGTAAGCTGGATTGTCAACTCTCTATTTCAACGGCAATTTGTGGTCAGAGTTCGGAGCTTTTTATCAGACCCTATACAAGTCAAGTATGGTGTGCCACAAAGCTCAGTTCTGGGTTCACGTTTGTTTTTGGTGTTTATTAATGACCTTGTACAGGCAATCGCTTCAAACTTTCTAATCTTTTCCGACGAAATCAATGATCAACCCAAAAGTAACTGCATTTCAACGTGTGTAAATGCAAGGTACTTTCCACCCGACAGCAGAGCAGCTGCTCATATCGGCTGGGTGGGAATGTATTGCAACCATTAACTGTCAAACGTAACTTGGGGGTCATTGTTCCAATTGGGTTGGTTTGCTCCAAGCAATCCGAAAAGGCCTCGAAGACTGGAAACCAACACAACAGACTGTTGCGACGGGCGTTTGAACAAAAAAACAGCTCCATATTTCGACAAAATTCAATGCGTATGTTCGCAGCCATAGCAAATACGCAATTCAAGTCTGGCATCCATGGCTGAAACACGACCTTAATGCACTGGAGCAGCCACAACGTCGAGCATCTAAGAACGTAATTGGAATGCGCAATATTTCATACCAGAAGAGGCTGCAACGTTTAGGGGTATTCGTTGGTAGCTATCACAGACTACGAGGCGACCTGATTATGGAATACTTGATTCTGCGGGACCACATCTTGTGTGCCGTTATTTGCTGCGACTTAGCACCAATACAACCCTGGGGGGCCAATCATTGAAACTCGCAAACCAGTATAGCCATGCGGAGTGTCATAGAAATTTTTTCCTATTCGTGTCTGTCACCCGTTGAATGCTGTCCCAGAATTCGTCGTCTATGCACCGACACTAGCAGTATTTAAAAGACGGTTGCAGGACATATTCATTCACTTGCACTTTGTCAGTTAGCCCTACGTCTCCATCCTAAACCTGACGCTTTTCATGGAATCACTTGATGTTAACTCTGGGTGCTATGAATCAAAGCGGATTGCAGGACTACGGTGGAGAAAACCATAAGTCCTTATTTTCATAGTTAAAGTACTAACTGTTTTACTATTATTATTAGTAGTTGTAGTATTATTATCTCTATTGTTATTTCGATATCCCCACCAACTGTCCAACGGTAGATGTAAAGCAACATTTTCAACCCGTATACTTTCATTGTTCATTGTTCAACAGCAGACAGGCTGAGTAGACATCATATATTGGACCGTAGCGGGTCTAAAAGTGCTCCAAAAAGCGAATACCATTAGTGCGCTTAGTTAACCAGAGATTACATTTATTGTCGTTTTTTACTTATGTATGGCTCATCATTTCTTGTCGTGTGATATCAACTAATTCGTCATAAGATTCTTTGACACATCATCCATTTGCGATTGATTTCGTCAGTTGCATGCCGTTTGTTGATAACTATCCAACCATCTGCTGGATTGGATACCATGCTGTCCGCTTGACTTCATGTCAGGATTGGGTACGCTTGCAGGACACAAATTCACCGCCGACTACTCCCAGCGTCTCCCGAATTTAGAGTTTCCCAGTTATCCAAAAATTAGCAAACAATTATCTTCGATAAATACGGTCCAGTGACTGAGTTGATTGAGGACCACTTGAAGGCGAAGCATGGTTCAGATGGAGATTGCGCATCGCAATCCAAGCACACACCAAGTACCTCAAAATAACGCCTCCAAGCTTTGCCCACCGCGATTCGCTGGCTTAGGGATAAGGATTTCGGTCTAGTTTCCAACGTCCTGGGTTCATATTGCGGTCTTGCCACCTCCCCCTAACTAACGTGCATGAGTAAACAACTAGTAGTGGAAGCAGGTGTTGGAAGCAGGTGACCCCGAACCCTAATTTGAAAATAATTCTAAAGGGCCGGGGAGCAAACCAGTGCATCCATTGGAGTTTCCTTCCTCTAACGTAATAACACGGATATGCGTAGATGCACCAAAAGTATTAAACGCAACTCAGCAGTAAATAAACTATCCAGGTGGTCAAAACTGACACCTTAGCGAAGATAAAACTCAAGATAGAAAGCCAAAAGAACTATGATGAGAAGGTATGCTGAATCGTTAATGCTTTCATCATGTGCTCTGTACGCTCAAAAGCTTCAACAGACTGGAATAGCATCTGAAAATGGTCTTGAGGCATTTGCCTTAAGTGCTCATTGAGCTGTAAAAATAGGGGAATCAGAACGATAAGTGAGAAAAGTACAGTTTTCTCTGCGTGATATCGGCTGTCAAGCTACTATTCCTTTCCTAGTCCGTATATTACACCTGATTGCTACAACGCGGGCTCGAAGGGCAAGGTTATCTTCTAATCCATTTCGTCTTCGTTGATAGTTACCTAATGATCTACTCTAAATTGTATCCGTGAAACGGGGTTGCTTATTGACAATCCTCTTTCAGTAACCCTTTCTTTGTGTTTGTTTGAACAATTCACCTCCAGCAAATGCGTTCTTGTGTATCAGAAACAGCACCACTCCCAAGCAGTCTTGCATCTAGCTATTGCAACGCTGCTCAAAACGCACCAAGGTATTCTTGGTGCGAGCACATATGTAGGACTAACTAGGAAGAGTTTTTACCGAAAGGCATGAACGGTTCTATTATACCGTTTCTAACCGATTTTCATAGATTACGAGAGTAGTAATGAGCAGACGAATTGACCCAATCCTTTTAAATCTTCAAGCACATTATGAGAAAAAATAGATTGAGATGCACAACAATTGACTTGGAATGCACATCTGTTTGCGCCCGTCTCCGTCACCATTTGTAACAGCTCATTGCTCTCCTAGCGAAACTGCCCGAACATGAGATCGGCTTCCCAGTGAATTTGTGTATAGTGACATAATTTGTGGGTTTCTTGGTTGAAACATAGGTTGGACAGTATAATGGTGCTAAGGTGTATTTACAACAGTAAGCAACATGAAGTTGTACTGCCAGCCATGTGCCAGATTGTGATGATCCTGCAGCTTCGTAGGTAAAGGAAACACATCACGGAACAATACTGCATGCACAGAGATGGTGTAAGTGAGCTGTTTGAAGTACCTACTTGGTTTCTGAATTCACCAGTTGTTATCATTTGATAGCCACTGTCACTAATCATTTGGGCAGAAGTTCAATTGACACAGCATCGGGAAGAAAACCGCCGAAGTTCCATCCTCCTGTTAACCACTGGTATTTCTGATTTCATGGCTGATTTCGTAACAGGCATTGGCTCAAATGTGGCTCATCAACTTCATAAGATGTTGTAACCTTATTTTTCTTACAGCTGCTGTCATCCGGGTTTCACAAACGTTGTGGTGGTTTGGAGAAAACAACCGGTACCAACCATTCTTCCGGTTTCATATGTTGGAAACTCTGGAGTCGGACATACACCCGTACGATGACAAGATGATTTTGACCTATTCGTGGCCGAGTCGATGCGTGTGTCCAAATGAAATAACGGTCGACAAGCGATACCTAATGCTCACACACTCGTACAAAGCTCGTCAAACTTTGAACATTACGTCCAAAACCGTCTTCCTCACTCGGATCAGACGCTACACAAAGAGACTAGCAGTAAGTGTTTAAAGTACCAATTTGCCACTTGGGTTGGGGTGCGTTGCGCTGCCTTGCACTTCTGAACCTGGACGTAAAGTTTCATTCGGAATGTTAAGTGCAAACGTACAAACATGTTTCACATTTGGAAAATCATCAGAATTTAAGCTGAATAGCTGTTTACGACCCATGAAGGCTAGTATAGTGTTTGATTTTGCGGAATTTCTATTTCTGTATTCTCTGCCAGGTCTTGCTTCCGTACCCGTTAGTTATAGGAAAGTACCTCCACAGTAACAATGAACGAAAATCTTATTCCAAACTGCAGACTGGATACCATACAAATTCATGAGTTTTGGGGCCAAAGCGCTGATCGCATGCATGGCATTTCCAACACAGACTGGGAAACTCGATTTGTTTCCGCAATTAAATTTCACCATCGTTGGCGCAAAATGTTTCGTTTAACAAGTTTTAACTGCCCGCATTATTAACAGTCGCCAGTGAACGATGTTGAGATACACAATACATCTGTTATTAAACTAGCTGGATCCCTTGCTACGTGGCGTCCAACCGCCGACTGTTACCATCGGAAGTTAGATAGAAGAAGGACTGACGCTGAGATAGGCATTCGTTGTTAACGAGTATGGTAATCTCGTGTATTGGCTAACAATTTACCACTAGCAGGACACGACACCGATACAGGAAGGGCAGCAGTGTGACGTGCGTCGCAGCTGCACAAAGGAGCCACCATGGTTCCGTGTGTGTGTGTGTGGGTGTGGGATACCGACGGTTCAGACCGACGGTTTCATCATGTGGTGCAACATACTTTAGCAATCACTAAAGTGTACAGACAAACCGGGGAAATTTCCAAGCATTTTACTGATTCCTTCAAGCGGCTCACGAACTAGATGGTCTTATGACCAATCCGGAAAAGCACCAGACAGCTGTTTCATGAATCCAGCCCCATCAAGGAACGAACTCATGACCGCTAGCAGCTTGCGCCACCAGTTGATAACTTATACCACTGAACCATTGGGGCATGGACGGACGGTAATAAATTGCAGGCTACCTGAGATATAGCGTGACCCATGCTCCAACGCATTAGAAATCCCCAAAATACTGCAAGTTATTATTCTCGATGATTGGCCTCCGAATGTTTTGTTGGTCGTAGCTCATTAATGACACTGAAGCCTGCCAGGTAACAAGTAGCATGAGCAAGTAGAGTAATATGTCCAAGTACTTAGTGGACTGACGGTTTCGGATCTCGTAGATCAACATTTTTCTAATCATTTTGTTGCGATGTTGCGATTTTTGTAATAAGGAAATTCTAACGCTACGATAGTGAAAGTGAAACTGTAACGTCATTTCTCCTTCGTTCATCGTTATTTACCAAGTAACGTTCATTCTGCAACTTCCCCAGTGTTGGAAAGGAGCCTGCCCTCGAAGACAAATTCGTAATCGACGTCGACGATATCCCGCTGTTCAGTGGCGGTGGAACGAAGAATAAGAACAAGCAAATTCGTCACATCCACCTTACCCGTTCGACATAACGCGAGATCTTAAAGTTCACATCTAGTCTCATCTCACAAGATTTACTGCTGCTTTAGATTTCTTCTGTCCGCATGTCACTGCGTGGTACTCATGTGGATAGACCAGTGTTAATACTTCCCTGAACTTCCTCATGCTTATATCTCGTGCCCATCGTTATACGCATAATATATATGCTTTGGAACATCATAAAGGTGTTGAAAGTGAACACAACTTCTGGGATTCACGTAGGAATGGGATTGTTACATAAATCTCGGTAACTTAAATAATAAATATTTGGAGCTAAAGGCTACAAATCAGACAGTTGGTTTGAGTTGGCTATCTGCTCTAACCGCAAAAGCTTTATTGTTTCGCACAAATCAGCGCACGTATACTTCCGGAAACATATTCAGTAGATCTTAGGTCGAACATTAACTATGCAATTGTCGCTCTTCTTACCATCTACTACTGTCATGTGTTGTACACCTGGAACTGCTTAGACGAAGGAATAACTGGCTGTGCAGGTAGACAATAATGAGTAATACAACCACAACACTGCAAGTAACCATGGGCTATCTGGTGGTATTCTTTCAATAACAGCGAGCAAACCTCATCAAGTGGGCTGCATGATGAGGTCATATCATCAGCGCAGATTTCGCGGCCAAGTTCAGATCCGTGTGTTATCGCTCTAATGTGCGGATAAAGCGTCGACTACAACCTTGTGGCAGTATAAGTGAAAAAATAAGTTAGATAAACGTTTATCAAATAATTCTACATTGCCTACGGCCAAAAGTTACATCCGAAGGAGATTAAGCCAGGGGTGTGTGAGCAAGTGTATTGTTAGTAGCTGGTAGCGAACAGACTGAGTACGCTTCTTTATGGAGAGGTGTGGTCGACTGTTGATTCAAACAAAAATGAGTAACGTTAAAACCAGCTAGCCGTCTAGTTCCCCAGTTATATAGCAAATCTACTAGGTTACGATGTTTTACACAACTGATAGCAACCGAATGGGGAAGTTCTTCAGGTCGTTACAGTGTCCCAACTAGCAAATGCAGAAAGCGAACGGTTTAAGTGTTGGTAGTTACCAATTGGGATGTGCTTCGGCACAGCGGCCTCAGTCATGCAGCTGAGATGAGAATGCCACCATGGAATCTGGGAAGAGCGGTAGATTACAGATAGACAGATCAATGATAAACTGCTGTGGGGTAGTTAGGATGAGATCGAGGAACGGAAAATACAACCTTGACACACACAGATCATTATGGAGGTGAGATCAGCACAGTTTTCACACGTGGATATGCGCAAAGATGTCTACCTTGGTTGTGTAGGAGAATGGTGGCGGTTGCACCGTTCGTCACACCGTCATGTTGAAGTGGAGCTTTCCGGCTTAAGACTACAGACCCGTTGCATTCGTCTGGATTTTGGCGTTTACCGTTCACGATAGTTGAGATGGTACCGAAAAGACGGGATGAAAGTTACTTGATGAGGAGCACAATGCACCGTACATTGGCGAAACCTGTAACACCGTTACGACACCTGCTAGATAGAGAAGGATGTTTAGTTAGAGCAAGTGTGAAATCCTTCTGTGTCTCCTTGTATGCATTGCCCACGGGTCAGGAAAGCCAATTAGTAGCAAATTACACCATTCTGCATCTAGCACGTAGGTGAGCAATGAGGTGATATTTTATGTGGCATTTATACAGCAATCTAAGAGAAACTTGGATAACCTCCAAAGCTCTACACTCCTCCTAGGTGAATAGGCTATATTTCCTGAGGCAATTGGGTTTATGTAACGTTAAGACGTTTGCTGGAAATGGCTAATGTGTGAGCAGAACGCATTCTGTTGGGTACGGCCTTCTTAGACTGACAGACGTTCAGACACACAAAGTTCTAACTCCATCATAACCGACTGCGTAGCTTGACCATTTCGAATCGGTGACTTCTCATAATCGTGTTATGGCTAATTTACAGAAGTTGACGACAAAGGTGTTGCAGCTCTTTAATTAAGGGTCGGTCATTATAAGGCGATATCTCTTTCGACCTACTGAATAAGAGACTATCACTGGCGGTGAGCAAAACTTATCCGACCGCTAAAGTTTATACCTGCGTTGAAACTATTCCGATCAACACCATTGACTCAAACATAGAATCCCGGCTCGTTCCCAATCTTTTGTTCTATATCAGTTCACCCTCACCTGTGGTGCAAGGTACGTCGGGCACACGATCAGGCATCTAGCTAGGTGGGTAGCTGAGCACTGCCTTGCCTCTTTGCAATATGCTATGGTTATGAATGTCTGCAGCTCGATACTCGAACATTTGCTTAGTACCGTCCATCACATTCGGACTAATGACACGTCACCGAGGCGTAACCCCAAAGGAATAAGAAAACACTTGTTGGCGACCGCTAAAACCATTGCAATCAGAATATTTCAGCCGCGTTTGTGCAAGCAGAGTCTAATGATACAATGTATCATCTTATCGTGGACGCAATATCGGATCACGGTTATGATAAAGAGGGACCATCGTAGGCTTACCGGTCAACATATCTGTGCTTTGTGCATGTGTGCGTCTTCGCGCGTGCTAGCGCGACTCATGACGTCTGACAGTATCGAGTAGACTATTGGTCTACTTCGTTGAGTTCACCAAACGCATCCCCAGCTTCCGCTTACCTGTCACGTTTATCTGTCTTGTAAGTGTATTTGCCGAAAGTGATTTGCCGAAAAGAGCTCTTCGCAAGTGTTAGGCTTCTAACATCATAAGAAGGTTTTGTAAGCGCCGAAACTAACTGCTGTAAAATCTTAGTGTGTTTAGCTTTAGTTGATCTGGAAGGTGAAACAACTCCTTGACGTCCTTGCTGACCTTTAGTGCTAAGTCTAGTGCGGAGCTAGATTTTGCTTCTACCGCAGCTGCCATGCATGAATAACGCGTACTACATTAGGTCGCAAGTGGATAATGAGCACTTGCGGACAGACAGATGGATCAAAGCATTCGGACGGCCCTACATAATTTCCAAATTGTTGCATTCTGGTTTTTTGGCACATCGGATTGCCTTGAACAACCGAGTTAGTCCCGAATTAGTAAGCCATGATCTCGCTTCCAGAACCGCACGGTTGCATTGGTATCCGAGCATATACATGTACTTGATGTCCATTTGAGGACGAAAACAGGTTAGTTTACATATAGACCAGGAATCACCAAACTATTTTCACAGCGGGCAGGACAATTGGGAAAAATGCTTAGCGCTGGTCGAATAACCAAAAAAGTAGTCAAAATGTAAAGATACTTAGCCTTAGCACTGACAATGGTGGGGCACAGTGCGTTACTTGGACCGGATCGGACAAGGCTCCGATTGTTGCCACTGCTTCAGCAGATTTCTTAGCCAAACGAAGAGAGAGCATCGATTCCGTGGAATTGGAGCTTCTGAGGAAGTATGCGGAGACGCAGGAAATCAGCGGCTTCAGGAAAGTCCAGGTAAATACCGTTTGTATGAATATGGAATACCAGCCCTGGCCTGGGTATATAATCAGGTATAAATATCAGGAGGCAAACCAAGTTGATAACAACGGGTCATACTCCATGGGCTAAAAGTAGACGTGGACAGATGAGGCGGAGATCAGGCGATTACTACCCCAGAAGATGTGTGTCAGGGGATTTGAATGGAGGGTACGGATAGTGAAACAAGAGCTAAAACCGTGCGTCAAAAATGAGGCAACTTTTGGGGAGCTGTGGAGCTCTCCCATCAAAAACCGAGCAGTGGCAGCCTTCTAAAGCGAGAATTGGGTGGGTCAAAGTCCACAAAGCATAAAGGAGTACGAATCTTTGCATCAAAAGGAGGTTCCTAGGTAAATCAGGGTCACGTTTGCCGTTTGCATCTTATTATTTAACTACTTACAGGACAGGAAGCATCTAGGCGACCGCTGGAGCTGGTCTGTCGGACTGCAAAAAATACGGACCGGTTCAGAAATTGGACTAGGAGACATCAACCTCCATTGTTACCAAACAGTGTATCAAAACGACCATCGTCCCACTAAGGACCTCCGGCTTTAGCGTTGGATGCCTCGTTTACCGCGACGAACTTAGAAGGCGCTGCTCGTGAAAGTCAATCGATCATACGCGAGGCTTGTGTATGTAGGGGAAAGAAAGGAGAACAAAGTACACAGGAAAACCGTCAACAGATAAGAACAAACGGTGTACGGGCAAATCATCTATGGTATTTGATCCTGTTTTTTGATAACTTTGCTTTCCGGGGGTTGTGGTATGTTCTTTTAGAAAGTTATTATACTATGACCGGTGCAAACCAATACAGTAGCTACAACCCTAAAGGCTTTACACTGTATGTAGTCAAAAAGTGGACAGATTTGCGGATCTCTCCCGTGGTCGAACGAATAAGTGTACGGAGCCGATGTTATCATATATCTGTGCAAACGTAGCGCGTGGACGCAGACTAGAGCGTTACATCGAAACGGGCCTTAACATTGCCCATTTAGTCTTAGAGGAAAAGATAAAGTTTGCAGCAGGACTGATAGGCCGTCACCAGGGCTTGGCGGTTACCCAAAACCTTAATCAACGTAGCAACTGTGAATGGGAACTGTTATCCTCGGTCGACGGCCGAGAGGGCATGTAGCCGTAATATGCTTCCCAACGCTTTACAATTATTTTTTACGGTTTCCGAAGCGTAGTTTGGAGTTGTAGTGGTCTCCACTCACCGAGTACACCGGTAGGTACAAGTCGATAAATATGCCGATGCTTTCAAAAGCAATAGATGACCTACGATGGTGACGCGAATGTTGTGAAAGCATGCATCTGGCCATGGAAATGTGCCTACTGGGCTGTCCCTGTGACTTTGCACCCTCGTACTATGGTATGGAGAGCAAGTAACAGCCAGGTAGTAACATCCCGACTGACATTGTTCCTGACGTATAGTGTGGTTACCTGCTAAACCAATGTACAAGGGCCAAGGGCAGACCATGCAGTTTGACGGACACGGTTTGAGGCATTTCACCTGACACCATTGAATGTGATGTGCCACGTGGTGTGTGTCCATCACTGGTTCCGTCTGACGCTGTCAGCGGAATCGGTGGTCTGTCAGGTAATGACCAGCGTAATAGATCCACCTCAGGGTCACTGGGTTGCAAGGCGGCCACGGCCGCAAGGTCGATAGTGGTGCCGGCGTCAGTCGAAATCACCTTGGAGTAAAGAATGT